GTTGGGGGTGTCGTGGTCTAGGCGCCGCCCCGCCCTCCCAGTGCGGGTGGGTCCTCAGTCTCCCTGGCGCCCTGCCTCCCTGTGGCCAGGAGGACCCGGGTGGGCAGACGTGTGGCCTCGGGGAGGTGACAAGAGCCCATGCGCCTGGCATGTCCTTGGGCTGTGCGGGCTCTTCACTGGTCCTCTGGGGACCTGGCCCCCACGTGAGCGCTCTGACGGGGGCAGTCCACGCCGTGAGGGCCGTCCCCAGAGTTTTCCTTCCCATCGCCCCCAGGGCAGGGGTAGTCACTTGTATTGGAGACGGTTTTATTGTTAGTCCCGAGCCATCTCTGAGCCTGCAGACCACAGAAGTGGCCGCTCCCTTAGCCGGGGTCACCTTGCCTCTTTCCTTCCCCTGCCCTGCCCCCACCGGGGCCACCGTGCCGGGCCTGACACTGGGGCGCAGGCCACCACGCCGAGTGGCCAGCACGGTGGCCGGTCCCGGGCGCAGCGGGGCTGTCTTCTCCTCCCAGGACTCTATGCCGGAATCAAGTTCTTCCTCATCGACTTCATCTTCAAGCGCTGCCCGAGGCTGCGCGCCAAGTACGACACCCCCTACATCATCTGGAAGAGCCTCCCCACCGACCCCCAGCTCAAGGAGCGCTCCAATGCTGCCGCCGTGTCCCGCAGGGTGAGCCTGCCTCCGGCCGGGGCACGTGGTCCCAGAGCCGCCGCTGCTCCCGGTCACGCTGGGTCCCCGGGGGCGGATGTCCTTCCTGCTCCTTGGGGCCCTTGAAACAGACAGCTCGCGGGTTTTCCTGCTACGTGGCTCTGCTGTGTTGAAGGGCCAGCTGGCCCTGGGTGGGGGACGCTCCTGCTGGAGGCCGCGCAGCGCTTGGAGGCCAGGCTGGAGACCCCTCACCTGGGGCTGTGGGATGTTGTCCCGGCTACAGAGAGCCTGGGGGCGTTGGCAGGAGGGAGCCCTGGCAGCGACCACTCTGTGGGTGGGTGGCAGGCTCCGCTGTCCCCAGCTCTGGGGCTGTCAGCAAGGCCAAGCAGCACCTGAGATGGGCCTGCCTTGTGCTCACAGGCTGGTAGTGGTCCACATTTCATTCACAGTGGAGGGCCACGTGGGCATCGACACTGTGTCCCGAGCCAGCCTAGGTGCTGCCCTTGGGGTCTCAGACCCGTGGGGAAGTTCTGAGCCTAGTAGAACTCCCAGGCAGGTCTAGGAGGGCTTCCTGGAGGAGGTGACATTGGCTTGTAGAGTCTCGTATGAATTGTGCTTTGAGGAGAGGGTGTTCAGTGACCTATTGGTGCTTCTGTTGGTGGAAGGGAAGCTGTGGGTCACGGGTGGGTCATGCTTTCCGGTTCTGGGACGGTAAAGCTTATTGGGAGCCTGAGCTCACCCACAAGCGAGGTGTGCAGCCGGGTGTGCGTGAGGCAGCAGATGGGCGCTGGGCACACAGATGGAGGTGGACCCAAGGGGAGAGGCGCAGAGGCAGGCAGCCTGGCTCCTCGACAGCGTGGGGGAGCCCTGGGGTGACCTGGGTGGGGCCTTCTTGAGGCTCAGGACCCCTTTGTGCCGGCCAGGCCGTAGGGAAGCAAGGGCGTGGGCCTCCTGGGGTGGGAGGCGGCCCCCTGAGGCTTTGCACAGGCCAGGTCTGCGCTTGAGCTTGCTGAGCGGTGTGTTTATGACCTTGTGTCACGTGGACCCCGTTTTCCTTTTGTCACGGTCACACGTGTGTCTGATCTCCTTCCGGCTAGCTGTCAGGGCCTGACAAGGTATGGTGGCGTGTGGCAGCCCCCGCTGTGACCTGGTGCTGTGCGTTGCTGTGTTGTGCCTCATGTTCTGACGTTGCTTCTGCTGGACTGTCCCGCCGCCAGTCCTGGCTCTGAAATGCCCACCTGAGCCGCCCGGCGCGGGGCACCCGCCCACGCACAGGGGGCCGCGGGTGCTGGGCGTGGCCTTCTGGGCGGGGGGAGGGTGGGTGCCCCACTACAGCCAGGCTTCTTGCCCAGCTGGAGGGGGCCCGGATACGGGGACGGGCACTGGCCAGGGCCCGTGGGGGAGCCCACGCCCACATCTGGACGCGCCCGCTATCAGCTCGGC